GCCTAGTAACCCTAATTTTATTATTGTTTTTATATTATTACTTATTTATTTAATAAAATAAAATAAAATTGCAATTGGAAGTCACATACCTGGTAGCATTTGGGTTTCCACCCGTTCCTGTGGTGCGGTGTGTTCACGCGCCGCCTGCTTATACAACTCAACATCGACCCTTTCTTCTTTTTTTCTGTGTTGCCATCTCTTTCTTTTCTCTACCCTACATTTCAGAAAAATATATTGTGAATTTCCTCTTTTTTTTATTTTTTATTATTTAAGAAGACTTTATATAAGAATTTTAAAGGTTGAAATTTTTATTCAACTTTTTCTAATTAGTTGCTTATGAAGTACAAAGAATTCCATTTGTTCCTGAATATATTCCTCCTTTTTAGTTAAGTTTTGTTTGATGCACCTTTTTTAATAGAATTTTTTTTATTATGTTATACATTTTTGTTTAAAAAATATTTTAAATAAAATATTAATTTATATCATTATTATAAAATACTATTTGAAATATTTTTATAAAAAAATTTAAAAATATATCTTTTTCGAAAAACTATAATTTCAACTATATTTTAATCTTCAATAATATATACTTTCGTTATATGATTTAAAAATTAATTTTTTAATACATAAAAATGAATTAAAATTTTATTTTAATAACTCTTTGTTTAATTATTGAAAGTTTATACATAAATAACAGACAAACGGACAATAAATCATATCGCTATTCTTTTTTAGATGGTAAAATTAATCTTTTTAAAAATAACATTCATTGTCTTAGGTGACACAATATAGTTATGCATGGACCTTTACACTCTCTGTAAAAGATCCATCACTTCTGGTGTTAGAAAATCAAAAGTATTAAAGGAATGGTATTTTCCTCGTGCTCAAGCAACTGTGAGACCTCTTCTGGAATCTCATCATAATCTTCTTCTTCGGCCCCATACACAGGACATTCAAAGTTGGGAGAGGATGCAGGGTCATTGTATTCAACGAGTTTTTTAATTAATATGCACATATGATTTATGATTGCTTTTAGAAACTGACACATATAATAAGTGATCATGCAGATTGAATTTCAGTTATTATTTATTTTGAAAGGTTTTTTCTGATTACCATTTTCCAAGAAAAAAAAGAAGAAAATAAAGACACAATTTGGGAAACAAAGACAACTTTTATTATTGATTTTAAAAGTCATAGCAAACAGATAAGCCCTACAACATTAATACTTCCAGCTTGGGCAGAGTGAAAGCTTTTCAAAAATATTAACAAAACAAATTACTTTGAAACATGTATGCAAGAGGGAACATCAATGGTGATCCAATTCTGAACCCTAACTCTGTGCGTCACATAATTCGGCATTTCCTGCTCTACTTCATCTTCCACAATGACATTAATCCTGGAAACAGTTGGATGAAGATAACCCCTGCTACGGAAGATGTCTTGATACTTGCTCGCCGCAGACTTAAACTTCATGCTCTTACCTTTGTCATTCTTCAAAGAGAACCTCAAGCCGACCCTGTTCTTGTTCACAGGATGATCCACAATCTGTCCCCATACCTAGTTATGACCCTTTCGCACAACTTGCTGCGCATCCTTAAGCGAAACCATAGAATTCTCATTTCCTCTTATGTTATCAATGGATAAGGCTTTGAACTGGGTTCCAACAGCAGCTTCATTCGCCTCCATAATGCTAAAAGAGGACAAATGAGATATCAATAATGCCTATTCCCCATTTATGATTACCAATTTCCCTTCACATACAAATTTCAGTTTCTGGTGTAAATTTGAAGTGACAGCCCCTGCCTCATGTATCCATGGCCTTCCTAGCAAACAACTATAAGCGGGTGTAGCGGTAAAATCAATGAAGTCGCCACAGAGTATTTATTTATCCCATATGAAAGGGAAAGGAAAATCATCAAAGAAAAACCTAAAGGGGAAAATCAAGGTCTTGCAACCGAGAGATTGGGTAAGGGATTCGATTACGCGAGGGGAAGGTATTGGCACCCCACACGTCTATAGTACTCTACGGGATCCACTCTCATTATTCTAATCAAAGGGTGTGTTCAATCTAATGCTTAAAGGTTATAAACTAAGAGAGAATGCATGCAAAGAAAAGAGAAAGAATGAGAGAAAATAAAATTGTACTCGCTTGGGCCCTATCCCAATGCCTACATGTCCTTTTTGAGGAATCAGAGCTACCGTAGTTCGGCTCATATGTTTTGTTTGTTTGTATTTTTTAAATGAACAATGTTGCATTTGATCATTCCACCACTGCTCGACCTTTGGAGACTTACGACCTGTAGTGGAAAGGAGCTAACATGCTCTTAGAAGAGAAAAGCCGAACAACAAAAAGAAATGGATTGGTTGGTATTTTTTACCATGAAAAGAATTTTTGTATGATTAGCATTTTTTATACATTTGCCAAGAAAAAAGAAGTTTTAGTTTTAAATGCAATTATGAAAAAACAGGAAGAAAATATCTAAGGGAGACTAACCTATCTCTAACCTAATGTTAACATATGATGAGGGGTCCTGTCTAAATTAGCATGCCAAAGAAAGTCTAACAAACTATCCTATAGGGACCATACACTGAGAGCGAAGTCGTGATCTTAATTTCTAAATTGAGTGACTCATCGATCAACAAGAAATAAAGGAAAGCGATAAAATCCTATAGGAAGCATGCACTGAGAGCGAAGTCGTGATCTCAATTTCTAAATTGAGTGACTCGTCGATCAATAAGAAATAAATGAAAGCGATAAAATCCTATAGGGAGCATGCACTGAGAGCGAAGTCGTGATCTCAATTTCTAAATTGAGTGACTCATCGATCAACAAGAAAGAAAACAAACACAAGCATAACACATATAAGAAATGAAGTGCAGAATGCCTGCTACAGGTCTTTAAATAGCGACTTCGAATGCACGCTCTTTATTTCCTACTTCTCATGATATCTAGAAAAGCGATAAATGCGGAAATATAACTTGGAAGTAGTGTAATACCAAACCAACAATGACGTCCGCAAAAAGTGCAACCAAAGTAAAGTAATCCGAGATACTTCGTGCGAGATGGCATCAACAAACAAACTGTCAAAGTTCGAATATTTGGAATAAGTGTCGCAACTTCGTCGATGTGAAAATAAATCACAATCAGAATCCAAAACACATTCACATATCAAATAATGAACCTGCATAAGACTTAACTCAACAAACAAAGGTGAATCGCAATTTTCAAGTAATCGAAAGATTATGAATTAATTTCCTAAAATCAAATAAAAGCCTAAAATTTTTTTATTGATTTTTGTAGTTTTTTATTATAAAAAAGAAAGTCCTAAATTTTATTTATTATTTTTTTATTATTATTAATTTTTATCATATGTATATTTTTTACTACTTTTATTAATAAAATTGGAAGAAATTTAAACTAAAATAAAAGTAAAAAAAAAAACAAGAAATTAGAAAAGAGTTAGAGGGGTGGAAGTTTGATTTCAGGGGGTGCTGCAGTAAAATCAGGCGTAGAGGCCCAAGCATGTGATAAGCCCAAGATTTTTTTGTTGCTAGGCACTTAGCTTCCGAAAAAAAAGAGTAACGGGCTTCAGAAACCCAACGCATGGCCTCATCTTTAAGCCCAACCATTTCCAACTCAAACCCACGTTCAGATTTTTATGAATTTTATCAATTCCTAATAAAAACAAAATGAGAGAAAAAGCGGTGCGTTTTGGTTAACTAGTAGGGTTAGAAGCTTTGCCTCTTCAACTTCTTCTCTTGCATTCTCATGGTGGCCGCAAACAACACCACCCAGATCAACAGCCAAAACGCCTCTAATCTCGAAATTCTAAAGACCAATACTACCTGATATCTAACCTTGATCCCAAATATACCATCATTTTTCTTCAAATTTGTCTTAATACTCCCAATTTCAATACGAAATCGCAAACCCTAGGATGGCTAAATGTGAAATAAATCATCATGGAAGCAAATCGAAGTTCCGAGACCTTGGGGAAATAACTCAGGAGGTCTCAGGCTACACGTTGGTATCAAAAAGATAGAGAAAAGATGAAGAACGGAATAAGCATCACCTACTTATCGGAGACGCTCCGACGATGACTCCCTAGTGACAATAAAGAACCAAAAACCCCGCTCCAAGATGCAAACTCTTCAAGAAACTCGTATTGCTCTTAACTCCTCCTACTTCTCCGTCCGATCCTGCTTCTGTCTACTTCTTTTCCAAAATTTGTGCGTTGCCGATAAGTGATTGTCGTGTTTCTGGCGGAGGAGAGTGATGATGGCGTGACGGAGCTTCTTGTGAACTTTTATGAATAGAGCATGTAAATGATGATGATGGAGGATCTGAGATGCTAGGAATGATGAGTGTTGAAGGCTTGGTGAAGATGATGAAGGATTTGCAGAGTTGATGTGAGGATGATGAGAAGATGGTGCGGTTTGTTGAAGAAGATGCAGAGCAGAGAAGTGCTTTGAGGTAGGTATAGGCTTGGGAAGTTAGTTACAGATCGAGAGCCCTCAACCCTTGGATTGAAGTTTCTTTTAAAGAAACTAAAGGTGAGGATCAAATTCTTTGAAAGTTTGTTATTCTGAGTTTTGGTTATAAGTTTCTGATTTAATATTTTCTCCCTCTTTCTGTTATAGAAGTTTGAGTTAGTTATATGGAGTTACGGATCTGCGAGGACAGTTATAAAATGTCAGTAGAAATTTGGGATTTGTAGACATCCTGTTAGGGTAGTTATGGTTAGTCTTGAGGTGGAATTTGGTTGGGAATGAATTCTGTTATGCTCAGTTTGTTTTGAGGGTCAGAAACGGTTAGGTTAGTTAGAGGTGGTTAATGGGAGGTTAGAAAATTCTGTTAGAGTATTCTGATATGGAGGTTATAGGTTGTTAGGAGATGGTTACAGGGCTGTTAGGAAACAATTGCGATTCAATTAGTTCATTTTCTTGACTCATTTTGGTTTTTGATTGCCGTTTATTTTCAATTTTTACCTTATGTTTTTTTAGAATGAGATGGTTTGTGTTTCTGCGAATTGTAGGTCCCACTGAGAGGGCTCAATGTCATCCTCATCAAATGCAAACTGGTCATGGTTATCCTCCAAAATTACAGTTGGGGTACGTTCCGTAATGTGAACATTCTTCTCTGAGCTATTTAGGGTCATAGATTTTTGAAAGTTTGAACTCTTTGATAAGCCACTGTAATCCTGATCAAATGCAAATGGATCTTCGCCATCTTCCAAGATTACCACTGGGGTACCTTTCGTAAACGAAATATTCTTCCTGGAACTTTATGGGTTGTGTATTTTTACTGTGCGAACTCTTTGGGAAACCACTGTCATGCTCATCAAATGCAAAAGGATTTTGGTTTATGGACTTTGATGTAATATATTCATAAGTTGGATTGAAATCGTCATTTTTATGTAATTTTAAATGGTTGAAAATGTATATGTTCTTAATTCTTGATTTTGTAACAGCCATGGTTGAATTAAGAAAATATACTTTGAATTAATTCACTTGTCTTTAAATTTATTCTCTTACGCTTACATCTTCTCAAAATGTATCTTGAATGAATCGCGATCCCTTTTTTAACCTCAAGTTCAAAATCTTCTTTTTGTATCTCAAACATAATCCAAATTCTAAGCAAAGCCAATTGATGAATCCCTTATATTGTGATTACAAGAAAACCAAGAAAATTATCCACAAGCCCTGTAACATCTCTCGCATATATCTTGTTCTTCAAGTAAGTTAAATGACTTATCCTTGAATCACATTAAAAACTTCTATTCCACGTTTATCTTAAATCGATCCTTAATGTAACTCGAGCGTTCATGACAAATCAAAACTCAGTTGACTTCGAATGGCATGCTTGGTAATCTCAATTGAATCCATAAATTCTAGTCATCTTGCATTTGAAACAATCATCTTTCATAAAATAATCTAAATAAGCTCCTGGCCCTATCTTGAATCACCCGTTAACAAAGTCATGAACTTAATAACCCTTGAATCAATATTAACTCCGACCACGATTAGAAGTTTAAACGAATCCAAGTCACAAGTCATTTCTCTCAGTAGTCCAAGTTAACTCGCAATTGAAGTAACAAGTATTTGATGAGAACCAAAAATTGTATCATTCAAAACAAGTCCACAATGTTGAAGAAGGAGAAGCTCAAGATAACCACAAGATCGAGCCTTAATCCAATGATCCCCAGTTGAAGCATAACAAAAGAAAACCCTAATTCTTAAGCATTGAAGAAAGATTGCAACCTGATGCTGAGGAGAGAGAATATCCCTGTAGTTTGATGGTAAAGAAGTCCAGGAAATAAAGCCCTAGTTCAAACAAATGATTGATGGAGAAATCAACCGAAACAAGCTTGTGCCAAGATAAGAGCCTTAAAGCCATACAACAAACCTAATTCCTCGAAATCCCTGATCCCAAGTCAAACTATTGACTAATGATGCATGATGCGTCAGATGACCTAATAAAGGTTATGTATCTCAATCTCAATTAAATCCACAGATTCTAGCCACCTTGCATTTGAAGCGACCAACTCCCATTTGATAAAACGAGCTGAATGAACTCCTAAAGTGAGCTCAATGTATCCTTGAAGTGAGACTTTAATCCAGTAAATCTCCATAGAAGAATCACCATCAAGCTCAAACAACATGAAAAGAAATCCTGATTCTCTGGCTGAGTTAGGCCCTAATACCTTTATTCTTTGAAAGGAATCTGATGAAGAAAAAGTTGTATCTTGAGGAAATATGATAACAGAGACATCTATGTTGCTTGAGATCCAAAACCCTAATCTCATACCAAGAAAAATGAGAGCGCCAGCTGAATCAATTTTGAGTAAGACGACAGCCTCCATCCAGAGAGAGAAACCATAATGCTAAAGCTCTTCGATCTTATAACCACGAGACCAATGCTATTTGTGAAATGTACAAAGTGTGATGAGGGATATTAGGGGCAAAAATTGGGGTACAACAGCTACCCTTATTTAAGTGTCTTATATCCGAAGATACGGAGATCAAAATCTTCATTTCGACGTGATTGAAGATACTTAAATATAAAACAAGCCCTATTTTTGGCCCTAAGATACCATGCGATGCTTATGATTATGGATGTAACGTATGAATTTCATGCAGATGGGAAAGACACACACTGGAGAAGCAAAAGTAGAATCTATAAATTGACAAAAGAATTCAACCAGGACACTAAATCTCCGGAGAACAACACGACTCCGAGGATAGAAATTTGAATCTATTAGAGACGAATTGGCTCTGCTGGGGAAAAAAACTCAACTTTACTGGGGTAAGATCAAGAGAGGAGAAAAAATAACATAGCCTCAAAAACTGAGGGAAAAGTAATGGATGACAATAATTAACCAATAGCTGCGAACTATCCACTCATAGAGGAGATAGCAAAAAGAGAGTAACATCAACACAGAGGATCGGCAATCGCTAACCAGAAAAGATCAATCTTACCTAAGAATGGTAATGAACTAAACGCTCAAGAACGAAAGTAAAAAAAACATAGGACATTACTGACTTTTATTGAAGGTAAAGAAACAAAAGATACACTGACGTTTGCTGAAGGTGGAGAAAAGAGAATGCACTGGCTTTTACTGAAGGTGATGTCTCAAAGAGTAATAACAAACTTCCCAAAATTCTAGCGTTCTTTCTAGAACGAGTAAAAATACAAATTATCTCAAATAAAGAGACTACCACTTATAAAGATTTCTCAACAAACTTATCTTGCAAAACTTCCTCGAAGAGATACCATTTGATGGAGAATCAGATAAACTTCGCCTCGATCCTGACTATAAGCCACGAACTAGTCTCAGTTTCTTCTTTAACCAAGATATTTCACCTGGAAAGGATAAAAATACAAGTTATCTCAAATAAAGAGACTACCACTTGTAAAGACTTCACAACAAACTTCTCTTGCAAAACTTCCTCGAAGAGATACCATTTGATGGAGAATCAGATAAACTTCCCCTGATCATGACTATACGCCACAAACTGGTCTCAGTTTCTTCTTTAACCAAGATATTTCACCTGGAAAGGGTAAACATACAAGCTATCTCAAATAAAGAGACTACCACTTGTAAAGATTTCACAACAAACTTATCTTGCGAAACTTCCTCGAAGAGATACCATTTGATGGAGAATCAGATAAACTTCGCCTCGATCCTGACTATACGCCACGAAATGGTCTCAGTTTCTTCTTTAACCAAGATATTTCACCTGGAAAGGGTAAAAATACAAGCTATCTCAAATAAAGAGACTACCACTTGTAAAGATTTCACAACAAACCTCTCTTGTGAAACTTCCTCGAAGAGATACCATTTGATGGAGAATCAGATAAAATTCCCCTCGATCCTGACTATACGCCACGAACTGGTCTCAGTTTCTTCTTTAACCAAAATATTTCACCTGGAAAGGGTAAAAATACAACTGTAGGAATCTTTCAACGAATGTTTTTATCATTGAAATACAACCAAACTCAACAATGAACTATCTCCCATAATGACGAGACTACCATTCATTGAAAGTAAAAAAATTTCATCAACGAACTACCTTCCATAATGATAAGGCTACCATTCATTGGGATAACAAACTTCATCAACGAACTATCTCCCCTAATGATGAGACTACCATTCATCGAAATATAAATCTTAACAACAAACTACCTCCCATAATGACGAGGCTACCATTCATTGGAGTAATAACATCTCAGCAACGAACTACCTCCCATAATGACGAGGCTACCATTCATTGGAGAACAATCCTCATCAACGAACTACCTTCCATAATGACAAGGCTACCATTCATTGGGATAACGAATTTTCATCAATGAACTACCTTCCATAATGACAAGGCTACCATTCATTGGGATAACAAATTTTCATCAACGAACTACCTTCCATAATGACAAGGCTACCATTCATTGGAGTAACAAATTTTCATCAACGAACTACCTTCCATAATGACAAGGCTACTATTCATTGGGAGAAAAACATCTTCTTACGTTAACAAACTTACTGGGAAGGAACAGGTTGCTCAAATAAAGAGAACTGCCGCCTGCTGTTTAAGAAGGAATTATAACAAGATTGGCGGGAAATGAAGCTCGATTTCCTGGGGGAATACCAATACATTCCTGTTAAGGAGAAAAAGTATTTGCGTGCAAAATAAATACACATTCTCAAATCAAGGCTCGAAGCCTGCAGAAATCAGAACAACAATATTGTCGGGGACTACAGATTCAAACCAGAAATAAACTGGAATGAAATAATCAACCAAGACAGCACCCGATGAGAAATAAAATCAAAAGGGGATCATACTCCATCCAGATAATGAACTGAATAGGACAGTTGAAGCAAAAAACTACCACGAGGGATAACTCAGTGGGGGGAATTGAAAGGATATACACTTTCTGTTTAACATTGATAACTCTAATGGAGAGAGAGTAACAATACTTTGCAAAGAGGATAATATGCTGACAAAACATCAATGAATACAAATGAGTGATGAATTTTAAATTCATCTATACATGACGTGTATGAATGTATGGATGTTATCATGCGCATGCTAACAAAATAACCATAATACACTGAGGATAACCAGACAAATCTAATCTTGGGTGAAGACAACACTCGGCTAAGTCACAAGCAGAACGGATATTAGATTCCATGAGAGGGTAAGCATCAACAGAGGAACAAAGTCCTATATCATTCTCCATAAAATCTTGGTCCAATACACTCATCAAGGATTCTCTGTGAGCAGATGAGTTCATCAATAAAGCCAAGATATATATTTTTGAAGGAGTCTGCAGTAGCTGATCTACAATTCTGTAGTCGCTCATCTTGATTATCTTCAAAATATCATCCATTTTTTTCTCTAACATAGCCCCACTAGTCTCACCCATAGCCTTCTTGGGTTCAACATTCTCAGCAATTTTCTTTCCAGCACTAACATCTCCTCGAAAAGCTAGTGCAAACACACGACCGCTGTGGGTCACCCTGCTATTTTCAGCAATATTCCCAACATCAAGCATCGGCTGGATGGGAACTTCCACTCCATCCTCTAAGATTGTAGCGTTGTATTTGTAGGGCACCGCCTTATCTGACTTGTAGGGGATATGACCCAGAAAACTAACCACCAATGGGGTAATAGCTGGCTTGCTATAATATTCAACTTCAAGATGGGCGGGTTCCCCAAAACAAGGTACAATGATGTCTACCCCTTCTTCAACATAATCAGTCATTATTGAGTCATTTTTGGAAAACAAATCCTCATCTGAGGAGAATTACTCATCTGCAGAGGCATACTCTTCATCTGACTCTTCTTCAGTCAAGCAAACCTCAATCAAATCAACTTCATGGTAATCATCCCTTTGACCTGTAACCTTGATAACTCCATTATCTAACAATAATTGAACACCCTTCTTCATGATTGAACATCCTCGAGAGTCCTGGCAACAAATTCGGCAAGATCCATACTGGTGTTCTACCTGACCAGCCATATGGTAGAAAGTAGCATGCAATTGCACAAGGTCCTCATTCATATACTCTACATCAAAAATTCTGAATTCTCCAGGACACCCAGAAACCATATTCACCTCCTCTTCATACTCTTCCCTAGGCCTGATTATGTGGATGAGGCCCTCATCCATGATCTCTTGTAAATCAGCCTTTGTCTTATCGCAACACTGTATGTATGTACTGCAAATAGCACAACCGGAATGGTCATGCGTCTAGTAGCTAAATTTACAGAGGTCTGCATGCATTTTCACCAAATCTTCTCTAACCACCGGAAGTCGCCTGGAAAACCGGCCACCATATTCACAGCATTTACTCCTCCATGCTTGGGTAGAGGATTTTCTTTCACATTAGGTCCCACATCCTTGAAATATAGGATACCAGACTTCACCAATTTCTGCACCTCAGTCTTCAAAGGATAACAATTCTCAACATTATGTCCTGGTGCTCCCTGATGAAAAGCACATGTTTGGTCTGCCTTGTAATACCAAGGCAATGGTGATGGTACAGCGGGAGGTGGTCAGGTCTGAACCAGCTTCTTATGAATCAATGCCGGTAGTAACTCTGTATAGCTCATAGGAATAAGGTCATAGCTCTCCATTCTATGATTATACCCTTGATTCCCCTGCTGGGACGATCTCTGATAAGCAACGGTAGTTGGAGCTGCACCCACAATTGGAGTAACTGAGACGAATTGCTGATGACGCTAATAATTCCTTCTAGGAGTATTAACCCTCCTCTGTTGCATAACAACATTTGCATCCCCTTCATTTTTCTTGGTAAACCCATAAGATGGCTTCTTCACGCCTCCAAAGCTTTCACTTCTCGTTAAACAGCCCTCTCTTACAACCTCTTCTAAGCGAATACCCATTCCTACCATTTCAGTAAAGTCACTTGGCGCACTTGCTACCATCCACTCGTAGTAGAAAGCACCCAGCATTTTCAAGAAAATATTAGTCATCTCCTTCTCTTCCATGAGAGGAATCACTTGGGAGGCTACCTCACGGCATCTCTGTGCATATTCTTTGAACGATTCCCTGTCTTTATGAACCATGGCCCTGAGTTGATCATGGTCAGGTGCCATGTCCATGTTGTACTTGTATTGTCTGATAAATGCTTCTCCCAAGTCATTTAAAGTATGGATGTTAACATGTCCAAACTCATATACCACTTCAGCGCAGCACCGATCAAACTATCCTGAAAAAAGTGAATCAGCAGACGCTTGTCATCAGTATAGGTAGACATTCTCCTTACATACATCACCAAATGAGCATGAGGGCAAGTGTTTCCCTTGTACTTCTCGAACTTCGGGACCTTAAACTTCACAA